TAATGCGATGCACGAGGGTGAAAGCAACCGAGAGGAATTGTGAATTTTTCTTTTTTTTTTCTGTGTTTCACATAAAATAAGATTGTTTGTTGATGATGAGTAAGTAGCCTCGATTTTTGCTTATCATCATTTATCAGCACTGTTTTTTTTGCTTGTTTTTTTTGAAATAAAGTAAGAATTTATCCATTTTTTCCTTTTTTTTTTTTTTTTTAAAGTAAAGACTTATCCATTTTTTTGCTTGTAAGAAAGTAAGGGATTTTTTGTCTTAATTTTGTTTACTTTTCTCTTAAGGGTTCCTCTCTTTTGTTAAAAAATGATTTTGCTTGCCGTTTATCGTCACATTTGTTCCAACCAGGCTAAGAATTGCAGCAAAGCAAAGTATCATCGCATGCATTTTGATTAATTGGCCTTTTATTTTCCGATAAATTTTATGATTTTTTTCTTTTCAGTAGTTTTTTTTGCGCCTTTTTTCCATCATGTTCACCTCAAGAAGATGTAATCTTTGTGAGTGATTTTTGAAATCTTCCAGATTTCCTCAATATGTCGTGTTTCCACACGTAACAAACGATGTTTGTGTCATCATGATGTTGCAGATGTTATGGGATTTGTCGGGCTCAAGCCTTTTCATCACTTTTTGGGATATAAGCCTCCCCCCCCCCCTTCCCCCTTCCTGTGTCATCGTGGCATTCCTCACGGCTTTTCGCTTTTGTCACTCTAACTATGGGGTACCTCAGAAGCATATTTTTCGGGTACTTAATTTCACAGTTCTGGCATGGATACTCGATCTAGGTCGGTGCGTGATAGGGCTAATACCGTTATTTTCGCCGAAAGTGTTTAATCGAGTATTTTCATCAGCGGCGTTGTAAAAAATGAGTGGAAGTTAAATCAGTCAAATAGTCGCTGTCATCACCTTGCTTCTAAGCAGCCCTCGAAAGAAGGAGCACCAATAATCTTGTCAGCGAGTGGTTGATATTGGCACTTTATACCGCTCGAATGTTTTCGAGAGTCTCCGCTGCTCCTAGAGAATGTTTATGAGGGAGCGGTTTAACTTTGATTTTTGGCAACCAAAAGCGAACCCCTCAAATATTTTTTCCCCTGGGGGCACTATCCGCAGTAATTTTGCTTGTATTCTCTATATCTCATGCCGTCGCTTTTTTTCAAAAATAATGTATTTATTACTGTAAAATCGTGATTAGGAGGGGTAGTCTCTTTTCACATTTTGTAATAGATGTTCTGCCACTCAACCGAAGGTTGAAAATTGGATCTGATGATGGTTGTACGCAGCAACTGAGGTAGAATCGACTTGCAACACGATCTCCAGCATTTCCAATATGCTTTTGAAAAACTTGTCCCAGGAACTTATGGCTGTAGAAAATCGTTTTTGATTTGCGGAAAACAGCTTACGTGTTTGTTAAAAATCTGCCTGTAGGATGTTCGCGTAAAGTCTAATAAATGAGATTTTTCCCTTCGTAGACATTTTTGGGTTTTTTGTCTTATGGCAGCCTTCTAGATTCTACCTCGCTGATGAACTCGATGGAGTTCTCAACCCCTCATGAGTGGCCCTCCTTTTCGACACTCTCGGTCACTCCACCCATTCCCCTTTGTTTACCCTATACCTCCCCCAAAACAGAAGCTGTGTTTTAGATTGTATGCTGTGCTGCGATTGTGCGCATTTGCCGCGTTGATCGGTTTTTTTTGTCTGTTATTGTCGATTAAACATTTTAAATGTTCATGCATTTGAGTTTTTTTTTGAGCGCAGCATAATTGCTGCGGCTCATTTTACCGCGCTTGCAAAATCGGTTTTGATTCGCCGAAAACAGCTTACCTGTTTGTTTAAAAATCTGCCTATGGGTTGTTCACGTAAAGTCTAATAAATGAGATTTTCCCCTCCTAGACATTTTTCTCTTTTTTCGACTTTTAGCAGCCTTCTAGATTCTACCTCCCCGATGAACTTGATGGATTTTCCAACCCCTCATAAGTGGCCCCCTCCTTGCCAGTTCCCTTCGTTTACCCTCTACCCTCCCCCAAAACAGATGCTGTGTTTTAGATTGTATGCTGTGCTACGGCTGTGCGCATTTACCGCGTTGATCGGTTTTTTTTTTTGTCTGTTATTGTCGATTAAACATTTTAAATGTTCATGCATTTGGGGTTTTTTTTTTGAGCACAGCATAATTACTGCGGCGCATTTTACCGCGCATGCATTTGTGCAACGGTCAGTTGTTTGAAGGCCTCAGATTTGTTGTTTCTTTGAGAGATGCGATATTCGCTGAGCAAAAAAAGGGTTCTCTAAGTGACATACCGTCACGTTGGTCATTTCTGCGCAAGATCAACTTCTTCAAGACCTTGGCTTTGCTCTAAATGTTCCCACGAAAGCTTTTACTTTGCTAAAAAGTGTACCCCATTCAATAAAAGCTAGGCATTACCACCTATACTTCTAGGCAAAGCTGGCAATTCTTTTATGGTACCTGGCTCGCACCGGAGATGCCTTCCCCTCCATCCCTCCTCCTGCCCCTCATCGAATCTTCAGTACTTAGTTCACGTCAAAGATACCTTTCTTTTCCTTTCTCCTTCCCCTGCACACCTTTTCCCGGAAAATTGAGGATGGGAGGGATGTATTCCTACGATGAAGATTGCGCAAAAGCAACCTGTATGTGCAAAATTTAAGATTTTAAATTGATTTTCAGCACAGCGTCGAAACATTCCGGCCTCATTTGGTGTACGATTGGAGCACCCAGCGGATGTGCTACGTGCGAGTACTATATCACATAATGATTTATTACTTTCTATTGAAATTTCATGGAAAGCCATTACATCATTATGATGCAACAACCCTTGATCCTGTGTTCAAACTTTGGACATCCTACCAATCTAGAATTATGCAGTCCTTTTAATCTGTGGTTATCCGAGTATAAAATCACTCCTTTCCCCTCTCTCCCCCCCCCCCCCCCCCCCCCC